TGTAAGCGTTCAAGCAAACCACTTCTGAAGATGCAAGCCACTCGTGCTTGCGAAACGTCAAGAAGAAATTCTACCGAACGACGGCCTAAAAACCCGGAAAACCCATTAGTTTCAAAATCTGTGATGTTTTGGCTTAAATTCGTGTGAGAGGGCCTTAGAAAGTTGAGACCGTTTTACGTAAAAATTTAATATTAAATATTTGTAAACCTTTTGCGAGTACATAGAAGTATTGAAATGAGGGTTCGAACCCTTCTCGAATTGATTGAATATTTATCTGAACGCTTCTGGGATATGGATTTTATAATTCATGTTACACGGAGCGCAAATTGTGATTACCTTAAAAATGTATTTGATTATATCGATTTACATTTTGGCTTTTTTACAACTATATAGAAGTAAATATGCATTTGTAAGCACTTTTATTTTATTGGTTTTTTGGCGTATAAAAGATTTGTATTATTTACTTTCAGTTCCTTCGTGGGCTTTGGGATCCAGAGGGTGTCTGCTCACTGAGTTACCATCTTTAACGGTTTTGTATATTCCCGAACAATCTGCATTGGAGCTCACTTCAGATTGTGGTCTGGATGGCACAAAACGAATCGCTTGTAAAGGCAATGCGGTAAGTCATATAATGAAATAAAAAATATAATTTGCGAATATGAATGATTACACAAAATAGCTTAAACATGAACATGAATTTAAAGCACATTTTTCATTTAATGGAAATACCCATTTTGGAGATATTTTGAATATTCTCAATTTTTTATTTATTTAAAACAAATGTATTCTGGCTTGTTTGCTGGCATTTTAGTTATTTTTCTACACAATGAAAACCTTTTCCGTCTCTTTAAAATGATTGATCTGCGCTTTCGCAATTGCTGAGCGTCCTTTTGCTATTAATTAAATTATCTGTTTCTTCTTTAAATGTTAATGTGCACCATTCGCTCGCTGCTTTAATGGTTAATTTTTATATTCCGTTCTTCTAACATTTATTAGAAAGTGTGGCGATTGTTTATCTGTCCCAGTGATTACAATGATGGTAGAAATATCTGTTTCCGTTTCAAAAGTTTAATAAAGCTTGGTTCAAGTTGATAGCAACATTTACATTGTTTTCAGTTCATATGCGAGATTCCGCCTCTCATTGGTCATTTCAAAAATACGTAAATGTTAGAAATTTTGTCAACGCACAGAATACTCTGTATGTAAATAAATGTTATCAATTCTCATCAAAAAGTGTATAAGTGTAAAAACAAATAAGCAATTAGACTAGAGAAAAAACTAAAGAAAATAGGTAAAAAACGATTTAGAAAATATGTAGGAAGGTATTCCAACAAGAATCTCTTTAGATCTTTGCCACTATAAAACAATAAGATGTCGACTGTTCTACTAAAAGGTAAATGTTTAGAACTTGGTAAAAGTTTTACAAGTTCCTGCCATGTCGGTCCACAGATCAGATGCCAAATTCAGGAAGTTTCTGATGGTAATTCTATTACGGAAGTTCTAAACTTTGCAACTGCAGTCGCTCTTTGTTCGCATCTGAAGAGCCGGATACACAAATTCTCAAATAAAGCTCTATTGAAAAATTATTTGTACTTAAGTGGACTTACTGGCTTTATGTTTACTGAACTTCATAAAAAATATATCGACCATAAAAAATTCTCTATTTGAAAATTTCAAATCCGGGTCAAGAAAATAAAACCTGAATGTGTCATAAAACGTCTTACGGAATGGAAACTCTTGCTCGTATTTCATGTTTTGCAATGTCGACACTTTTCTGAACAGAAAACTTTATAAAGGAAAAAGGGATCTACCTAGTTTGCTATTTCGCTTTGCATCGACATTGATTCTTTTATGTGCCCCAGTTTGAAGAAAAGTGTACAACTGAAATTGCAAGTTTTCTCTAACATATGCTGACTATTGCTATTGCAGTTTCTTTCAATCAATACTTGAAATCATCAATTATATTAAATGTATAATTGGTTTGAAACTAATGGGGTTTTCGGGTTTTTAGGCAAAAAAATTCTAACAAACGACGAGAATGTATTCCTGACGTTTCGCAAGCACGAGTGGCTTGCATCTTCAGAAGTGGTTTGCTTGAACGCTTACACTGTTCTCATCAGAACCCGCGTTCAGTTCTGCGGAAGAAGTGAACGGGTTCTGATGAGAACAGTGTAAGCGTTCAAGCAAACCACTTCTGAAGATGCAAGCCACTCGTGCTTGCGAAACGTCAGGAAGAAATTCTACCGAACGACGGCCTAAAAACCCGAAAAACCCATTAGTTTCAAGGAATGGCCTCGAAAGTCTATCTTTTTTGATATCACAAATTTTGTTCATTATTTGCGTATATAAATTATCATATCGAATAGAGTATGGATTGATTCATTTGATCAAGCCGCATTTTTGAAACGTAAATTAATGCGTCATTATTGATTAAGTTCATCTAGTTATTTCTATGTTACTTCAATATAATTAATTAATTAATGGGCCTTCATTTGTTCGATTTATTGAATAATATAAACGCAATGCAAACTTTTGATATAATTGGTTTGTTTCGTATTAATTAGAACGTCATGACAAATTTCAGAAATCCCTGTACCAGACATGCAGTGGAAAAACTTGATTACATAAGAGTAAGCATCGTAGTAAAATCTAAGGACAGTGCTTGAAAAGTGATGTATAAGCATAATGACTAAAACATCTGTAAGCGCGTAAAACAAATGTGTATTTGTAGAATATTTGGAATGTTGAAAACTATTAAAGTTCTCATGTATTCATGTGGTTTCAACAAATTATATTCAGGGTTCAAATAATTTATAAACCGCCCATTTTGCATACTAAAATTGCCAGTGCCAAATTACTGCGGACACTCAAAAATTTTACAGAAAACTCATATTTATTTTGCTAGTTTTTTGCATTTCCAGTCGACATTGCTTGAAACCTTCACTCATCTACAGCATTAAATCTCCTTGAAAATTACCAGCCAGCAATATTTGAAAATAAAATGCGTGACGGGGCTTATCTTGGAAATGAACGGCCAGATAAAGGGCCTTTAAAATTCTTTCAGGCGAATGCTCTAAATTCCACTCCTCAATTTCTCTTTGCCGACCATGCCGTATCGGCTGTGATGTCGATAAATTGAAAAAATCAGTTTAAGCTCGCCGTGCAGTTTTAATTTCGATGGAAATACATTTATAGTTGCGATCAGAGTCGAAATAAAACGCTAATGAGTTAGAGCTACGAGATGCAAAAAGCCTGTTAATGCCTCGACAGTTTTTCATCATCAATTTTAGCGCTTTGAACATTTTCGACAGTTATTTCATTACATTAGAGTGTGAAAATTTAGTTAGTTGTTAAGTAACTCCTTTGTTTGCAAAGGACCACGAGGAAATGCTGAAGCAACTAACATGCGTGATCGCTCACGAGGACATGGATGATGAGAGGACGTCGAAGACTTCCGTTGCGGATTATTTCGAGTCTTCAACGTGGGCCGACACGGATGGCGATGGAACAGCGACGAAGAATTGGAACTTAAATACTGTTAATCCTGAACACTTGACTTCAACCAGACATCGGCGGGAAACTGAAGACACTCTAAGCCCAGTAGCCACTAAGAGTTCTTTTAAAGAGGTAAATTGTTCTTGAAATTAAATCAATCATGGAATCAATAACTAAATGAAAATGTATTTTTGCAGATATCGGGAACAAATATTTCTTGGCAAGATCAGCATGAGGATAAAGTGGTTTTAACTACCCAGCATATTTTGCTGGAGTCGCATGTAAGTCCGACACCAGCCACTACTTCGAACATACAAAAACTGGCGGATGGGGCAGATCTGAAAATAACTGGCTTGGACCATGATGATAAGAGAGTCAGCACCGAGTTTCACAAAGAGGTGGATGAAAAGGTACGTAATTTCAATCAAGTTAATCAATAAAAACTAGTACATTTTTGTACGTTCTTAATCAAAATGCTCGAACATCTGAACTGTTGAAACTAGTGCGTTTTTCGGGTTTTTAGGCCGTCGTTCGGTAGAATTTCTTCTTGACGTTTCGCAAGCACGAGTGGCTTGCATCTTCAGAAGTGGTTTGCTTGAACGCTTACACTGTTCTCATCAGAACCCGCGTTCAGTTCTTCCGCAGAACTGAACGCGGTCAGGAATACATTCCATTTTACGACGTCCTAAAAACCCGAAAAACCCATTAGTTTCAAGGAATGGCCTCGAAAGTCTATCTCTTTTGATTTCACAAAGTTTGTTCATTATTTGCGTATTAAAATTATCATGTCGAATACAGTTTGGATTGATTCATCTGATCAAGCCGCATTTTTAAAACGTAAATTAATGCGTCATTATTGATTAAGTTCATCTAATTATTTCTATGTTACTTCACTATAATTAATTAATTAATGGGCCTTCATTTGTTCGATTTATTGAATAATATAAACGCAATGCAAACTTTTGTTTATTTTAATTGATGTGGGGGATTAAAGCATAAAATTTGCAA